ACCGATTCAACCAAATATTAGAAATATGTTCTAATAGTATTATCATTGTTATTAGTATTAATAATAGTATTAGAGTGCCTATCTTTAATGCTAGAAATCCTCCATTTGTTCCAACGTTAATGACTGATACATAGCAACCTTACAATGGTACCAACTTCATAAATTTCAAAATTTTCGTTTTTTTCGGACGGATCACGAAAAAAATTATGGATAAAGTTTATATTGGTTGCAGGGCTTTAAATGTTTATGTAAATTCCACTCATTCATGTAGAACTGTTGATACTTTTTTTACAAGTTATCGTATGGGCTTGTTATATTTTTTATAATCTACACAAAAAAACACAAACAGATTAAAAAAAATTATATGCTAAAATGTTGATTTTTCATATTTTTGTACAATTAAAAATAATAACAACTTTTCTTAAAATTGCCGTTTCCGACATATCCATCGTTAGTGTCTCTTTATTAGTAATTATCGAAATAATGTAAATAAAAACATCTTAAATACTAATCAAGTATACAATATGAAGTATAACTTCAAAAAGTTGAAAATATGATCATTAGAAAAATGGTATCCTACTGAAATTTACTGTTGAAGAGAATTGAAATGGCGCGAGGGGCGGGGCGGGGGTAATCAAAAGCAGACCAAATGTGAAAATTTGTTATGAATTTTTGAACAACCTCATCAATCGACATTCTCTCTAATTTCATGTGTGTTTTGAATAATGATATAGGATGAGTAAAAATGCTGGGTTAACTCAATCATAGATGTACGAAAATTATTTAACACCGATAACTTTATTAAATAATAGGCAACAGTAATCACAGTTTAAAGTAAATGAGTGTGTGAGTTCACTTTAGTTCATAGAGACGATGAGCACTGATGTACAGTAGTGAATGAATGTTTGAATGCACTACGACGTGGGTTGTAAGGCCGCGTCATTAAGGATGAGTCCAGAATGTATGATTTAGTGAGTGGTATGAGTTTCTTAACACTAGATGAGTTCAGTGAGCTACAGAAGTTAATTGTTGAGGCACTATGTGATCTCGATGATTGCTTGAGTAGAATGAATGCACAAAAAATGAATGCTTGTACGACAGCTACGATCTAGCGTCGGTGAGCGCGGTTCAGCAACAACTCGTCGACAATCGAGTTTCATCGAGAAATTCGTGAAGCCTGCCCTTAGCACACATTTACCATTGATTCCCTTAAGAAAGTACCATTGATTCCATGCCATTTAGCAATGGAAATGAATGGACCTTTGCCAAGGATATTTTTTTCCATTAGTATCAACATTGGTATTACAATTGATAGTACCATTGGTATTACCATTGATAGTACCATTGGTCTACATTTGTAGTGACCCATTGGTTTTACCATTAATAGTACATTAGTCTTACGAGTGTTAGTACCATTGTTATACATGTATTTATATTATTATATAATAATATGATCATTATACGTGGTATTAACATGTTATCTGTCATGAAAGAACCGTTTATTATGCATTAATGTTCAGATTATTGCCAAATAGCTGATTCTATTTTTGAGTTTTATTTGTCGTAATGAATTTAAAATAGTGAATATTAATTGAAAAATTTGTATGAATATAATAATGAGCATGTTATTTAAGAGCTTTCTAAGAGCTGAATTACTGAATGATAGGCGTAGCTCTAGTTTAATTCTATTAGTAATAAATTTTTTTAAATCAGAAAAGTTGCTAGTCGTCTTTAACAAAGTATAAAACGTATAATCCAACTGTTCACAGAATATATAACATGTCGCTTACATCAATTGCAGTTAATTTTAAAATATTAATATTTTGTTCTTGTAAATACTAATAACGTAAAAATAATATTCCATTGCTCATGACATCATTTTTCTCCTTTTTGGTACTTTAAATTGACACCAAACTTCTTGTGCGACTCATATTTCATTTTCTTGGATTGTGGATTTTATTTTTTCCACGAGTTGCGTCAGGGGAATTTTCTGAACGTATTCTATAGAAAAAGTAGGTAAAGTATATAAGATCTTATAAATAATTCAAGGACAATTGAATATAAATATTGACTTTAAAAATACCTATAATTGCGTCCACTCTTTAAAGTCCAGTTTTTTTTTCTTTTAATTCAATCGGTCGCGCGTTTTTATGATATTTGGTATTTCACCGCTAAGAGATGACTCAGCCATCTCTTCGACTGAGACTATACGTCATTAATCAGTTACCAGCTTCGATGGTTTACTAACACAACATATTCAGTGTTTTCTTGCAATCAAAGTTCCACCAAAGTTATAAGTCCACTGTTTCCTATGTACATATAAAAGGAATATAATAAGAGTATTATTATCAACACAAAAAAGTACTAAATAAAAAACCATAAAACTTACATTTTCTGGCAGTAATTTTGTAGAGTATTGTTTAAAACTGCACATCTGTGATTACTATCTTCTTTTCATCGAAAGACTCATCTTGTGGCTCATCACCTAAGTCATTTATGTTTGATGCGGATATTTTCCACCTTTTCATTCTCATTTGTATTGTCACTATTTGCAGTATTACATAGATCATTATTATTAGATGAATTTCTTCTATCCTCAGAAGTTTCGATTACAAACCGCTATTCCTTCATGATCATTAATTTTAATCAATTTTTTTGCGTTTCGAGAAGTTCTATTATCTCGAGTCGCTGTGATTATCATTTGTGATAGTTCTTTTAATTTTTTATTAAAATTTTGCAGTATAAACTTTATCTGAGCTGTTTCTTCGACATCTGTCTGATAGCTGTAGAAAGAATAAATAGTATAGTTGTATTAAGGAAATCATAATATATTTTTATGAAATAAAATTACACATTCTAAATTATGATTTGAAATATTGTAAATAATAACTTACACTCCGAATGGTATATTATATCAAGAAGTCGTTTATTTTGATTTTTCAATAACCGGTTTTGTTTTTGCAAATGAAGTAATTATTTATTACTGAAGATTGGGTGATACATGGTTTTGAAACATTTTCAATTATATTATTTTCATTAACATTTTCCTTATTAGCCGACTCTTTCAGTAATGGTTGAACATGTTTTAACAATTCTACTTGAGCTCGTAGAACAGATTCATCTATTTTTGTTTTTTTGTTATATTTTATCACCAGAACTATCATTCAATCTTTTCTTTCTGGCTTCAAATCTCGAGCATCATTATTTTTTTTAGTGGTCTGATTGTTTGGTGTTTTTTCACTCTTAATGTTAGAACTTTCATTTTTGAATCACATTTTTTTGTTTGTTTTAACTTATTCGATTTATTTCGCAATGACGGTGTCATATTGGGTAAATGACTATTCTGACAATGCCGGTATAAAATAGGTTAAGCTTATCGAAATTGATGTTAAGTATTCCGAAAGATTAAAATTAACTAAATATAATCACTGATAATAAATTCTAAAAAATCATCATGTTATCAGTATAACATTACATGAATTTAGATAAGCATGAAAGTAACTCACTCAAAGCGTCTATTCAAGAAATATCAACGGTTAAGAAGATCTGCAGCTTGTTCAACCGTGGCGTTGGGACTCAAGCTTGAACTGCGCGTGAATTCACTGCGCATACCGGCAAAGACTACGTACGTCAACACAGTAGTATACTCAAAAACTTTGTAGCATAAAAAAAGTATTTACCAGTGTTAAAAGTTTACATCTATAAGTTTTGTGATAATTTTTGTAATTGTTTGTATGAACCCGGGGAATGATATCGAAGATTCCTGTTTGAAGATGCTCCTATTCCAAAAAGAACACGTGTTCGTCGTGAACAGGTTATGTCCACACAACTTCAAGTAAACAACATACAAAATAATGTAGAGATAATATCATTACAGAAGTAGAAATGAGTGAGTCTATCAGAAATTGTGAAGAAAAGGTAACTCAAGATCAATCCATGTAGGCGTTAATCACACAAACAGTTTTCGAGTGCTCAATAATGAAGACCATACTATCAATGGAATTCGTACAAATGACGTAAATAATTTGCTTAACACATCGATGAGGTAACAGAAATTTGCAGCAATTTATTAATTTGAAAAGTTTATACTCACTAACAATTGTTAGATACATTTACTTTTCTTATAGAGTAATAATGATGATCAAATACTGTATGAAGGAGCACAAATTACTCGAGCTGAAAGTGAAGCTCTTATAATGGCATTCGTTTGAATCAGTCAACATCTGAAAAAGGCTTAGAACTTCTTCTAAAACTAATTAACTGTCATATGCCAAATCCAGTATATACATCTGCTAAAAATTACCAACAAATTTCCAGTGCACTCTTCGAAACAAAATTTTTTTTGTATGGAATGTGAAGCAGGCTTGACTTTTAATGATCACTCTGAAATCATTTGTATGTGTGGAACGCGTAATGTTAAAAAACAATTAATTGATAAAACTAAATACTTTCTTACTCTGCCAATTGAGGAGAAATTAATAGATTATTGAACAATGAGGAACTACGTAAACAATTGAATATATCAAAAAATAATTCGAGTGATGTAACAACTGGTCGAATGTATCGAAATCTACAGGAACGTAACATTATTGGAAAGAACGATATTACTTTTCAGTTAAATACAGATGGAGTCAGTGTTTTTAGTCAACAAATGCTTCAATGTGGCCCAATTTTCTTATCTATAAACGAATTACCATTGTCAACTCGACGAGATATACTATATTAGCTGGATTGTATATTGGAAATAGTTCACCTAGAATGGATACATTTCTCACCCCAGTAATAGAAGAGTTAACAAAATTACATCAACTTGGAATTACAATAAAATTAAGAAATGACACCACTTTAAATATTAAAGTACATACAATTATTTCTCCTGTAGACTCCGTTGCCTGATGTAAAATGACATATTCCAAACAGTTCAATGGACGATATGGTTGCCTTTGATGTTTCAATGAAGAATGCAAATTTTTAAAGGAAAAGGACATTGTCGCATATATATGCCCTATGTTGGACAACTAAGAACAGCCAATGAATTAATGGAAGATGGAGCAGCAGCTATAATCGGAAGGAAAGAAAATGTTAGAGGAATCAAAGGTCTTTCACCACTACTTAAATTACCGGTATTTAATATAGTACGGTCTTTCACACCCGAATATATGCATGGGACTTAATTAGGAGTCACATGCATGTTTTTCGATTTATTTTTTGACTCCAATATTCTCAAAAACCTTGGTCATTACATGGATCATTACAAGAAATATCCATGAATGTAAAAAATATAAAACCTACATCTGAAATCACTAGACTTCCTGCTCCTATAGAAAAACGTGGCTTAAATAAAGCTTCAGATTGGAGAAGTTTATTATTATATTATTCTTTGGTTATTTTTCGAGGAGTTTGAAAAGACCATACTATGACCACTGGTTTTTTACTAGTCTATAGTTTCAGAATGTTGCTAAAGGATAAAATTTCTCTACGGATATAGATAAAGCAGAAAGATGTCTTCAAAAGTTTGTTTCTACTACTGGACTTCTTTATGGTGTAGAACACTTATCATTCAATTTACACATATTATTACATGTATCAGATTGTGTACGTGATTGGGGCGGCCTTTGGGCCACATCGACATTTTCTTTTGAACATTGCAATGGAATATTAACTAGATCTTTTAACGGTACACGTTCAGTGATTCCACAAATATGTGCTTCTATGAACGCACTGGCGTTTTAAATTATAAAAGTAAAAAAATATTTACTGAAAATACCTCTCAGCTTGCAAATGATTTATTTCATGATCTCCTGGAAAATCGAAAATTAGTAAGAAATTATTACCAAACTGGATATTTAACCATTTTAGGTGTAGGTCAGTTACATGAAATTAATGATGATCTTAAACATGCAATAGCTGCGGAATTACAGATTATCAACTCGACTAATTATGAAGTCTTTACATTTACACGTTTCATTTATAAAGGAATTGTTTATTGTGGTCAAGCATCTAGAAGATTGACAAAGAGGGATAATTCAGTGGTTTATTCGAAAAATAATCGATTTGTGGAAATCACCAGAATTATAGAGATTAGATTCGATAATGATCGATATCACTTTATTTGTGGAAAAGAATTAATTCCTTCATTTGAATTTGTTATAACAGGACGAATCCATAGGAGCCACATCATTAGATTTGTTTACAAACAGTAAAAGAAGGAGCAATAATATGTACTCTTATAAAAAATATTTCCCAAAAATATTTACGAATAACTTTGAATGAAGTTGCATATATCACACCTATAGCAAATACCTACGAAAGAGATTAAATATGTAATTTTTAAAATTCTAGTTCTTAATAAATAAATACTCATGCATTTTATAGTATGAAATGTATCTTTTCTTCAAAATAATGCTTTCCTTTTATGTTCAATATTTATTTATTTGAAACCAATGAAAAAATATTAATTAGTTTATCCATTGTATTTTCCTTTCAGTACCATTCATTCTAATGATAAAATTTCCATTTAAACTTTATCCTTTATGATATCCATTAGATTGTTAATGTCAAAAATTATCTTTGAGAATTTACCATTAAATTACTTTTGAAGTCAATGATAAATTCTATCATTAAACAATTCCCATTCTTTCTTCATTTATTCACCATTGACATTCAATGGAAATTATTATATGCCATTGATTACCAATAATGTATTAATGGCAAATGTTGCTAAGGGCGAAAGTCGGCGTCGTTGATGGGTCCTAATGGTCCGAGTGGGGTTAGCTATTCAGTAATCAATTACTGAACAATGTAAACGATTGAAATACTGAAATGGGTAATTTTTTTTGTTTTAAAAATTGCAATAATAAAAATTTTTTTTTATTTAATCTAAAATTCGATGAATTAATATTTAATAAAAACTAAATTATTCGTAAAAGTTTGTCTATATGAGTTTTTGTATTAACTGTTCAATTTCCAAGACCGTTTAAAAATGATTTTCGGAATGTTGGTAATAATGGCTTTGTTACTGTCAGTAATTATTACATTTTATCGATCGTTAATGATCGTAAAGTCATTAATCTTTTATCCACTATGTCGCTGCTATCGTAAAAATTCAGCGCACACATATTTTGAATCGATTATTTGACTGTTTGAGCGCTGTAATCAATTTTCACATTTGAGATAATGTTTGCGAGTGATATCTAATTAGAATGATAAGAAGGATATTCAATTGATTTCCTGACTGCAAGAGCGCTGCAACAGAAGTTAAGAATTTCAATAATAATTGTGTAGGCCATCTAATTAGATCACTAGAAAATATACTAATCAAAGAAAATTTCGCAATTAAAAACGTCCATGTTTCTCCGTCATAAACTTATTTCCTTTGTCATAAGTTGGAAGTACTTTGTTTTTTAAGTTGTAAAAATAAATTAAGCAATAGTTTTTATTAGTTTCGTGATTAATAAATATATATCAGTGTAATAATTAATAATGGTGTGTTCTAATTGTGAAATGACCGTTTAAGACACTTTTAATGTTCAATGACTTTAGACAAACAATACAATTTCTCATAATCATAGTGTGATGAAGTCAAAGGTATTTTGTGGAAGTTGTGGTAAATTATGTGGATTAAACTCTACGACTATGTTTTGGCAGTGCCGTAGAAAGAAAAAAGTGACTGTAAATAAACGTGCGAAACTTGAATAATGTAATTTCAAGTTGTCAGTTTGTACTCATACTCGGTTCCATATTCTTCGATGAGTTTTGAAAAAGTTTGTTCAATAATTACCCAATATTTATTCTTAAATCCATCCCACGCACAAATAAGTTTAAGATATCACCTAATACATAAAATGATTGGGCATCTTACATTAGGCTATATGTGAATAGTGGGTTTTTAAAAACTGTAGTGAGAAAATTGGTGGTCGGGGCAAAATTGTTGAAATTGATGAGGCTGAATTTGAACATAGGAAGTGAAATCGAAGTGGGCTTATTAGGAAAGATGGATTTTAGGAGGCATTAAGAGAGAGAAGGCCCCCGGGGTTGCATGGACGTTTCTGTCCTTAAGATATGTCGCGCAACAACGGGGACAGATTGAAGATTATTGTCCATAATCCGTCGTGCCCCACTTTCGTACTGCCCTATATGGTAGTCTGAATGTGGGCACGTCGAACACGCCGAGCGCGAGACGCGTTAGCGACCGCCGACCAAAGCGGATAAAGTTGGTACTACAGGAGGCCAAATTCCAACCCTGTGCCTGGGGCTGCAAAGTCAAAATATGACATGTAGGCCTAGGTACAACTGACCAATTGAGGTCGGACTCGTAGTGGTATGTTGTATGGCCTCGGACTCGTTACGTGTATCCCTGTGCCTGTTCTAGGTGCAGGTGTACGCGTCCCGGGAAATGCCATCGCAAAGAGAGTAGAGTTATCATTTCCCAGAGTTATGCCCAAAGGGGCGAGGTACTCAATTTTCGTCCTTCGGACGGGGGAAGCATGGCTATGGATTGGAGTAAAAAGTCCATTGTGGAAGTAATGAGAAGGAGAATTAAGTCAGGGACTACGATAATATCAGATTGCTGAAGGGCATATGATTGCTTGAATGATGAAGGTAATTGTCAATTTTCTGTTTTTAGTATTTTTCTGGATTTTTTGAAACAAAAATTTATTGATACGATTGTACTTACTGTTTTGTACAATTTATTAAATTTTTTATAAATATTTAGGGTTCAAACATTTAACATTGAACCACACTTATAATTTTGTTGACCCGGATAGTAGAGCTCATACTCAACACATTGAGAGAACCTGGAGAACAGCGCGAGCCAGTATTTTAAGATACGGCTGCAAGGAGGAGAATCTGTTAGGATATGTTGCAAAATTTATGTTTCAAGATTTTTTTCGGGGATAATATATGTAATCGATTCATTTGGTCATACCAGTCATCAAACTAGCCATTCTACCAATCAATTCAACTCCTGAAGCCCAACAGCAGAATCAACCAGAAGACAATCATCAACCAGTTGCTGATGGCGGGCGGCATGTTGAGAATTGATCAATTCTCAGTTTGAATTGCCAGCTGACAGGAACTTCGGCGGCCATCTTGGGACTGGGTCGATAACCAATCGACCAAATAATCAATATTTCTTAATCTAGTCACTCATTTGACTATTTTCCAGTGTCTCTTTTGACTAATGAAGTTCCTGTCACCATACTTTCTCTGTTCTCGTTCACTTGTACACGTCATACGAATTCTTTTCTAAAAAAATCTTGAAGTTTTGAGTCATCAGTCAAATTGTGAATCATCAGAAATATTCAGTTTCATTTTACGATAGAAATCAACTAACATTTCAAGACATTTCACAGTAAATTCACGAAAGTACAAGAAATTCATTTTGCATTCATTCCATTGATAGGCTAACGACACGTGCACAATCATATTCTTGCTTAACTTAAGAAGCGTACTGAGCTCGTGTGGGAGGTCAATAATACCGGACACACCGAGTTGAGCATTTTTTAGACATTCAATTAGAAATTCAGTAACCACAATTATAAATTGTTTAAAAAAAATCCTACCACTAATGTAGCTACACATAGGTATAAAGATGAGTTTTTTACACTGTTTGATTTCTTTGTTATTCTTCCGTCATTTATAGAAAAATGAATGACTTTTAAAATTCATTTTGGTATCCCAAAATTGCAATTGCCTAGAGTAGCGGTAGATACTCGGCGCCACGTCACTTGCACATTCTGCCCCTTATTTAACTATCGCCCCTCGTCAGAGTAGTGCGCTCTCACAGCTCATATTTTCAGTGCTGAGTATTACGCTACTCTGTGCTAAAAAGTTTGCGCGTGACGTCACGGCGCAATGTTTAGTTGTAAATATCTCGATAACTATTCACTATTACGAATAATTTTCAATTATGATTAATAATGACTGTTAGCTTCATTAAGATCCAAAATGAGATTCATTCATTGAGTATTAATCGAGATACAGATTAAGCTACGCCCCTACATGCCATCCAACGCGGACTCCTTTCTCGTGGCCACAATTTTTCTACGATATATATATATATGTTCTGTAAATATCATTCTCAGTTATAAATTGTTTCAAGTAAACATTAATTTACTTG